ACATTTTGCACGCATATATGGAATGAGGCCATATGCCCAGTCTTGACGTTTCTTCGATGAAATTACATTGAAAAAAAAAACACTTCCTCTTAACAGACAGTCACAGTAATCCTGGATCTTTTCTCTTAAACCCTCTTCAAACTTTTTTTTAAATGTTATCATAGTTGACCTACGCTAAAATAGTAGAAAAAGAAATACTATGCTCTTGTAGAAATACGGGTGAATAGAAATTGGGAAGGATTTCTCTTAAACCCTTTTTAAACTTTTTTTTAATGTTATCCTAGTTGACCTGCGCTAAAATAATAGAAAAAGAAATACTATGCTCTTGTAGAAATACAGGTGAATATTTGAACCTTTTGTTGAACCTACATTGTATATAACTGAAACCTCCTTAAGTCAAATACCTCCCCAAGTCAATTTTTTTTTTCAAGTCTCCATCCGAATTTCCTTTAAAAAATGCATTACAAACCTCTCTAACCTGATGGCTTGTCCTCTCAAACCTCTGTGACTCAAAGTTTCTGAGGCCGTTTGACTATTATTTTCTTCGCACAGGAAAANCTCTCAAACCTCTGTGACTCAAAGTTTCTGAGGCCGTTTGACTATTATTTTCTTCGCACAGGAAAAAGAAAAGCAATAAAAAAGTAACAATGCATTTTGAAAAGAAGTAATAAATTAATTTGGCAAATGAACCCCTGCCTCCAAGTTCAGCATCCGGTCAATTCGTTGAAGAAGCAATTTAGGGCCTAGAATATCACCAATTACAATGTCCTGCAATTCTTCTATGTTTTCCACAAAAAATGCCTGTTTCCCGAACTCAAAACCACCATAAAACTCAAAATCTCTTCGTTTAAAGCTCAATCCTCAAGTCAAAATTGTTTGCTGGTCCTTTGAAATTCCACTTGGAGAGGTTATAAAACTTATAATAAGAGAAGATTGCATGTAGCAGGGACAGGACAGAAAAAAGCATGGTTTTTTATACTGAAAATTAATGTATTCATGAATAAATTTATATCAAATTTCCCTGAGTAGTGATCAAGTGTCTCATGAAACTTGCTTGGCACTGACCATAACTGCATGCTTCAAACTTATCGTCCGTCGTTTGAAAATCTCAAAATTAAGTATTAAAGGGAAGAGATTAAAATCATAATTTTTGCTTGAGATTCAGGAAAATGATTTGATCATGTCCGCAACGAATTAGTCTTTCCATTTATCCATTAAACTGAATTCACCCTTCGTTTAATTTTTTTTTTCTCTTATATACTTTCTCTATTTCTACTTAAAATTCTTCATTCCTTCGAATGGAATGAATTTTGAATGGAATCCATTACTTACACACAGGGCGTGTGCTGTCTACCAGAAGGTACGATTGCAGTTTCGGATTCCAACAACCAATGCGTTCAGGTGTTCACCGAAAAAGGCGAATGCGTTTTGAGGTAAATAATATTTTTCCTCAATGGATAATAGGAACATTTTTTTCATCTTGTCGAATCATCGAGTTAAGATCGAATTTACCGGTCCTATACTGCACTTGCATTACTCAATACATTATTCTTTCATGGAAGATTTAGCATATATGGTAATCTCGATAAAAAATATTTATTAGTTTAGAATCGAAGAGTTTCCCTGCCATTAAAATTTGTAATGGATTGACCCATTACTATATGTATGGTATCGATTCGAGGAGAAGCCCTCATTAGAGGATTCCCGTTTCTAATTTTTTAGGCCTTTTGAATTCTTTACTTGTATTTGTTTGGTCATGAATACATTTTTTTCTGCAGGTTCGGAACCCGAGGGCGTGGGGTGGGTCAGCTGCAACGCCCCACCGGCATCTCCACGCTGCCCAATGGTAACTTCGTCATCGCTGACTATGAAAATCGATGTTTGTCAGTTTTCGACGCGTCAGGCAAGTTCCTGTCACGAGTGGGGGTCAACAAGCTTCTAGGTATGTCCGTGTATACCTGCATGTGCGTCAGTAAATTTACTGAGCACTTTCAGTGCATGGTTTCTATTCATGCATGAATAGAAACCCTGGACAGTACTGGAACTGCTCAGAAAAGTTAATAGATGTATGTGCATTATCTGATAATTTTTCTGAGCCCGTTTTATAGTTCCGCTAAATTGTTCGGTGCATTGATTATAGCATTACACATTTGAAATTTCAGTAGGTGGAATGAGAGCGCTTGCATTTCAGTAGAAAAAATAAAAGTGATGTCAGTTCTGAAAGTACTTATTTGATGCAGAGTTATTATAAGATTACGGCAATATAGTTGCAGAGAGAAGTAACTCAAAATATTCGCGATGTGCTGGGCAACAGCTGCATTTTTCTGAATTATTCGTAGATTTCAGCTCTNGTACATCATTCACAGATTTTTATTTCCACAGGTGATCGCGATAAGAGACGACGACTCGTCTTCAGGCGACAGGCCGGCATCGAAATTGGCACGCACTTCGGCTGCCAACCGTTTGTCTGTGAGCAGCAGCGTGCCGGGTGGGCTCTGTGGTAGTCACAGTGCGAATGCTGGCAGCTCTGTGCGGTCCCGACGAACGTCTCGCAGTTCTTTAGGTTCAGCCATGAGCATGTCCGGCAACCCCAGGAAACTAGTTGCTGTTGTCCCCGACGACCTGTTGGGAAGGATTGGCAGGAAGGGACGAGCTGTCGGCGAGTTCGCTAATCCCCAGGTACCTGCATATACATTTTGCACGCATATATGGAATGAGGCCATATGCCCAGTCTTGACGTTTCTTCGATGAAATTACATTGAAAAAAAAAACACTTCCTCTTAACAGACAGTCACAGTAATCCTGGATCTTTTCTCTTGAACCCTCTTCAAACTTTTTTTTTAATGTTATCGTAGTTGACCTACGCTAAAATAGTAGAAAAAGAAATACTATGCTCTTGTAGAAATACGGGTGAATAGAAATTGAGAAGGATTTCTCTTAAACCCTTTTTAAACTTTTTTTTTAATGTTATCCTAGTTGACCTGCGCTAAAATAGTTGAAAAAGAAATACTATGCTCTTGTAGAAATACAGGTGAATATTTGAACCTTTTGTTGAACCTATATTGTATATAACTCAAACCTCCTTAAGTCAAATACCTCCCCAAGTCAATTTTTTTTTCCTGTCTCCATCCGAATTTCCTTTAAAAAATGCATTACAAACCTCTCTAACCTGATGGCTTGTCCTCTCAAACCTCTGTGACTCAAAGTTTCTGAGGCCGTTTGACTATTATTTTCTTCGCACAGGAAAAAGAAAAGCAATAAAAAAGTAACAATGCATTTTGAAAAGAAGTAATAAATTAATTTGGCAAATGAACCCCTGCCTCCAAGTTCAGCATCCGGTCAATTCGTTGAAGAAGCAATTTAGGGCCTAGAATATCACCAATTATACAATGTCCTGCAATTCTTCTATGTTTTCCACAAAAAATGCCTGTTTCCCAAACTCAAAACCACCCTATAACTCAAAATATCTTAGTTTAAAGCTCAATCCTCAAGTCAAAATTGTTTGCTGGTCCTTTGAAATTCCACTTGGAGAGGTTATAAAACTTATATTAAGAGAAGATTGCATGTAGCAGGGACAGGACAGAAAAAAGCATGGTTTTTTTATACTGAAAATTAATTTATTCATGAATAAATTTATATCAAATTTCCTTGAGTAGTGATCAAGTGTCTCATGAAACTTGCTTGGCACTGACCATAACTGCATGCTTCAAACTTATCGTCCGTCGTTTGAAAATCTCAAAATTAAGTATTAAAGGGAAGAGATTAAAATCATAATT